CAACCAAAGTAGTAAATAAAAACTGTGCAGCCTATTTTAACTATCATTAATGTCCTCTCAAAGAGAAACCTGTGGCTATTTTACAGCTTTGCCACGCTCAATGAAAAACAATCACATCCTTTAAAATCTGGGATTAAGAGGGATTAAGCAGGCAAATATTAATTCCCGCAGGGCTGGTCCATGGGACTTCAGAGGCCCGCTGATACACACACAGTCAAGTGAGCTTCCTTTGTAAATACCACGATCAGAGAAAAGTCTGTCCTACACATGCTCTTTCATGAGGATTGTGCTGTGTTTCAGCCAAGTAACCTTTACTTTTCTTTACTGAACAATGCAGCACTTTAAGGTGGTTTTGTGTTGTGCATTCTTGCTGTGATTTAGTTGTGTAGTTGGAGCAGATGTAGGGCTGGAGTGCTGAATCATGAAGTGCTGAGTAAAAGCATGAGACAGTCCTACACACAGTACTGCCACATGTCAGCCTCACAGTGAAAGCCATCAGGCACCAGTGTGATCCGAGGGTGGCTGTTCAGTCATGATAGAACAAATCTGAATGTTCCAACATCTATTATTAGACTCTTTCTGTGATGTTTGCAAAATGTTTATATTTTAAAAGGGGTAATTTCATGAAAAAAACAGACCTGCATGAGTGCTGTTATGCCCTAGCAACCACTCAGAAAACATTAGCAACCCCATAGCAACACCCTGGCAACCACTCACAACACAATAGCTTTGTACTGGTGAGTTTTGCACAGACAAACACCACTCACATTTGTCCTTTATGCCCTAGCAACCACTCAGAAAACCTTAGCAACCCCATAGCAACACCCTGGCAACCGCTCACAACACAATAGCTTTGTACTGGTGAGTTTTGCACAGACAAACACCACTCACATTTGTCCTTTATGCCCGAGCAACCACTCAGAATACTATAGCATCTAAATAGCAATGCATTAGAAACCACTCAAACACCTTAGCAACAGCACAGCAACAGCATAGCAACACCCTGGCAACCACCCACAACACAATAGCTTTGTACTGGTGAGTATTGCACAGACAAAAACCACTCACATGTGTCCTTTATGCCCTAGCAACCACTTAGAACACTATAGCAACACACTAGAAACCACTCAAAACACCTTAGCAACTGCATAGCAACGCCCCTGGTAACCACCTACAATACACTAGCATTGTGCTGATGATTTTTGTATAGAAAAATGCCATTCATATTTGCCTTAATGCCCTAGCAACCAGTAAAAACACTATGGCAACTGCACGGCAATAAACTAGAAACTGCTCAAAGCACCTTAGCAACTGAATAGCAATGCCCTGGCAACCACCCACAACACACTAGCATTGTGCAGGTGATTTTTGCAGGGAAAAACACCACTCACATTTGTCCTTTATACCCTAGCAACCAGTCAGAACACCTTAGCAACTGCATAGCCATGCCCTGGTAACCACCTACAATACACTAGCATTGTGCTGGTGATTTTTGTATAGAAAAATGCCATTCATATTTGCCTTAATGCCCTAGCAACCAGTAAAAACACTATGGCAACTGCACAGCAATAAACTAGAAAGTGCTCAAAACACCTTAGCAACTGAATAGCAGTGCCCTGGCAACCACCCACAACACACTAGCATTGTGCAAGTGATTTTTGCAGGGAAAAACACCACTCATATTTGTCCTTTATACCCTAGCAACCAGTCAGAACACCATAGCAACTGCATAGCAACTGCATAGCAACACACTAAAAACCTTGACTAACATCATAAGTGAGTAGAAGTGTAAAATTTAAATCTATCCTATGCTCACAAAGCAAATAACCACAATAATAAAGTTAACGACCCAATAAAAACCTCCACCCAGTCACACACACATCTGTGCATATATGATATTTCCAGCGTCTCGTCTCTTTCATGCAGTAGATTGAGTGCAGTTATTTACTCTATGTAAAGATGTTTGCTGAGTTTATGAGACCTTGCTGCAGTCATGGCTTCTAATGACTGTCATAGCGCCACAGACCGCCTGTTCTCCCTGCCTCGTTAGGGCTCGACATTGACAAAATAGGTCATTGTAATTCAGTATATGCTAAAGGACACAGAAGCGCTGGAGCGAGGAGAAACTAACCCATGAGAGAGAGAGAGAAACCAGGATCACTGCAGGACTCTGCTTCACATTGGCTTTGAAAGGCATCTGAAGTCTGGCTTTGCACAATGACATGCATGCAAGCTTCTATTCTGAGTTATTAACTTCTTTAAGCAGCCTCCTTTTCTTCCTCTTTCCTCTCCACTCTTATTTTTGTTATACAGAGGAAAAGGTCATTGTATAAGTAGCACAGAAAAAATATCACTGCAGAAAAGCAGTATTTTACCTCGTTTTACCCGATATTCAGACACTTATTAATCACGCTGTCTCAGGCATTCAGAGACCTGCTTGAAATTACAGATGAATTATTATAGAATGAGCAATTTCATAAGATTTTAAATTGATGTGGTGATTGGGTCATTTTCAAGAACTGGTGCCATTTGTGTCCCCATGACTTAACATTGATATAATTAACAGGTTACTCAAATTATGCAGCGTTCCAGACAAAGTCAGACATTTCACAATGCTAGTGTGTTGTGGGTGGTTGCCAGGGCATTGCTATACTTTTGCTAAGGTGTTCTGAGTGGTTTCTAATGCATTGTTATGTAGATGCTACCCACAAGTAGCAGACTTTTTTTTTTTTACACAAATATATGCTTAGCGCAAGATTTCCCAACACATTATTGAATATAGGATCATACAATACATTAACAGTTCCCACATAACATTTCAAAGAGAAAAAACAAGTGAAAATACTTCTTACAACATCCGACAACCGCAGATGTTCAAATTCAGCAACTTGAAAAGCAAAACAAGGCAAATGTCTTAACAGTTTTGAGCCACGTAAGTATCAACTCCATTGTCTCCAGTTTGGTGTTTGGATTTGTGACTTCATAAGCAGGTAACAAGCATTAAACAGGTTTTCTCAATGAGAAATATTGATATGATCGACTGTCTTACAATGGAAACTTGTACATGGTACGAAATCTATGCTGGTATTAGGAAATAATTTAGAGACTCCTCCACAAAAGGAGAAACATCGTCTCAGCCAACATCTCTACGGTCCAATCAATTATTCAATAAATAGCTTTTTTATGTAATGCGTGTGTTCATTTGCATAAAGGTTTCAGTGACTAGAACATTTACACATGCTGGTTACCAACAATCATTTACAATTTTCTTGCACAATTAAAACTTGCACAAATACAATTTCTGCACAATTTTGGTTCTAGGACTAGGAAGGAAATAAACATTTCTGGAGCTTTACTTGTTATAAGCACAATAAATATTACTGATTCATATTACTCCGTATATTATTCTGGGATGACTTTAGAAAAAAGAACAATGTTTTTAGAAGCTATAAATACCAAAATAGTTTGTCACTGGACGAGCACATAGCCAGAAATCCAACTTTTATAAGGCCTATTTAATGTGGTATTATGATACCCAAACAGTCTTTGTAGGTCCAGAGACGAGCAGCATTAGTTTCATTATCTGAAAGGGGGCAGCGATTTCATCAACATGACAAAAGCTCATTAATATTACAATATTAGACATTGTCTGAATTCATGATTTTTAAATCATTTATTTCTGTATTTGTAAAACAGAAATAGTTTTTAAAAAATATGGCTCGCTATTTCTGTCTTTCAAGCGTGCTAGTTTGTAAACAACTCATCTGGGGATAAATTAAGTCACCACTATGTAATAGTTCATTTCGGGGAACCGAGCACAGTATGCTGTCACTGTATTGATCAGTGCTGATGTACAGTAAAAGTAACAGCATCATCAGTGCAAGGGAAATAGGAGGAGTTTAGCTCAAAGACATCAGCTGTTAAAACACATTCGCAGTGCATTACAGAGCATAGCCGCACACACATTCAGAGGCACAAACAATCCCAGCAATACAGACAATCTTAGGAAAGTGACAAGACGGCTGAAAGCAGTACTGCAGGCTTACCACACCGCATTAAAGATCAAGATCGGGGAAAGTATTACTCACAAATCACTAAATTCATCATCACAGTGAGTTATCTGATATTGCAGGCTTACTATTTTGCCCACCGCATGGTGTAAAAGAACCACAAGTAACTCACCAATGAAAATCAGATTGTTTTGTGTGAATTTGATAATGGTTAACCTCTTAAGACCCGGCAAAACATTTTAGGAAAAAAATTTTCTTTTTTCATGTCATTACATTGTTTAGACTAGAGCATTAAAAAAATGTAAAACAAAAAAAAATGTAAAAATTATATTTCATTCATAAGTTATGCTACGTCCTTGTAAGAGGACATCGGGACTCAAAAAAAAAATTAACATGTTAAAATTTTTACCATTTAAAAAAATTTTCTTTATGCAAAATGTGTGTAAAATGGCCATAAACAGGTTCTCTCATTATATATACTGTATCTATAAACTAAATCTAATTTGCACATTAATGTGTTTTTGGGGCAACATGTAATGAAAAAGGAAGTGTAATAATGGGAGTAATAATTGACAAGATTTTCATAATAATACATAATATTTCATTGGAATATTGAAATATAATTTCTTTCCCTAATCATTTGTTGTGTCTCCCAAAATGCATAATAAACATGCTTTTATTCCCGATGTCTTCATATGAGGACATGTATGAAATCAACGTCCTGTTTCGTAACAGAAAGTCATATTTTGATTTGAAACCCCATAACATTTTCCTGAGATGTTGATTTATGACACACAGTTTAAAAATTAGTCGGATTTAAATGATAATTACAAAATATCATATTTCCATAAGAGTGTCACTAAATTAACATCAGACATTTTTGAAGACCAAGGAGAGGGAGTGGTCATGGTGAAGCATCCAAACATTTAGTATCTCTAAAAAAGCCCTGAATTTTGCTCTGTACAGGACATCCAGACTTAAAACTGTGGTCTCAGAGAAATTCACTAAAATATAATGTCCTCATATGAGGATGCAGGGTCTCAGGAGGTTACGCTGATATCAGTTCACTGAGCTTAGCACGTGGTAACGTGAGGGGGTGACTCCCAAAATGCCCCCCGAACAGAACATTCAATGTGTCGACTTGTGGGCGTCCATGACATCATCGGTACATATTAAAGGGACACCAAGAGCTGTGGTGAACATTTACTGATCTTCAAGGCGTTTCTCAAGTGCTTCATCTTAAAACAAACAGTCATTCACTGAGAAAAGAACAGTTCGCATTGGTCCATGTAACAAATCAGCCATGAGGTGCACAAAATGCAGGAGAGAACAATCTGAGAGGTGACAAGCGTAAGCAATTGCAGCATGCTACCAGCAAATCCTCCCAAGTTCATTACAATTACGCAGATATCAAACCAGAACACTCTTTAAAACAACAAAAAGCACCAACTTAAAGAGCCAAAATGTTCTAAAGTGAAAGACACTGTTGCCCAAATGTTCTTAAAACTGAAAACAAGGATGTTATGTGTGAGTTCAGCAAACTCAGGTCAAATGAAATGATAGAAACGGCTGTACAGAAAAGGCTGTATGCGGTGGGCAGTTACTGTCCATAAACACTGACTACAGCTTTCTGCAGAACTCTATATATAACCACCATGATTTCTCCACAGGAAACTTGAGAAACTACAAGCGCAGGAAGACATGCAAATAATCGTTGACTTTGTTTGTCAGTTGATACGTATTTGCGTGCCTGCTTTGACATGTCGAGCTGTTGACAGCTTTGAGGTAACAACCGTGAGTGTGATTTTAACACATCAGACGAACATAGCATAAGAGGCAGGCTGCACAAAACTACTAACAACATCAAAAGCAGCTGAAGCTACATACTTCCTGTTCTGCCATAAATTACTTTATTTACAAGGATTAATGTGTTTTACACTTATAGCTGGCGAGTTAGATGTATCAGTTATATACAGTGTCAGAAGTGAGAGGGTTTTGGTTACGTGAAGGTTCTTATAGCCCTTTGATGCAGCAGAGTAAAAATAAGACGACGAGAGCGAGAGAAAACGCGAAACAAGAGAGAAAAAAAGGATAGAGATGCTAAGATGGATTGTATATTAACAGCTGGTCTTTGGTCTCCTCTGGCGTTTTCGTTTGAAGAAAAAAAAAAAGCATGAAACTGCAAAGCTTCGCTGCGACACTTCTGAAACCTTCACCTGCATTGTCAATGCTGCCAGAGAAAGGGCTCCTTGATAGAATTACTAAAAACAACAACAAAAACAGGAAAGCAAGAATACAAAATTCAATCTTTCAAATCTTGGAATGGGTGCAACATATATCTACAAGAAGAAGGTTCTGAAATAAAGGAATGATGCAATAGAAGAAAACGATTGATACATTCCAGATCATGATATCACTCAGAATCTCTTTGTATCTTTTCCTCCCTGGTTCCACCTCTTCAAATCCTGGGAATGGCTGTTACATTCCTCTGGCATTTCCAATGCCACTTTAGGAAAATGGACTCCTTTGTCCATGGAAAAAACACACAAAATGTTTAAATAACAGTGTTACTATAAATGATGTATTTGTGTCTCTGTAATGCCGAAGAAATTAACTTGCACTTTAATCTGGCAGATTTCAAATGCATGCTTTCCATTTTTTTAAAGAAAGTTTTTAAAGAAGTTTTTAAGAAAGCTATGCTCCATCTGTGAAGTAAATGGCATTTTATGCCTTGATTCAATCAAAGGATACCTCGTCTGGTCCATAACTCATAATGTTACGGTGAGAAATCAAAAATAAAATTGAGATCTCCGAGTTCACATGAGCATTCTGGTATATGCATCTCACGATGCACCAAGAAACATCAGAAATAAATAAATAACCGTCCATGATGATCATATAAAAGGCAAAGGAAAATCAAAAGAGCAAATAGTCTATGAAATGCCACCATCAAGCCCAGAATCGGGCCGCTCTTTCAACCAATCGTGAAGGCCGGCTGAGAGCGCACTCCTCCCGAGTCAACATTGGCGCAGAAGCCCCACCCAACTCACAGCAGAACTTGATAAGGAGTGTCCCATCTTTCATTGGCCATCCTCAGCGCTTCATTGGCTGGGGAGGGAGCCAATCACCACAGCAGGAGATAAGGGAATTAAATCTCAAGCTATGGTTTCTGTGGTCCAGGGGAGAGAACGACAGGTGTGGAAAGGCCGTCCACGCTCAGTGCTGGGATCTGGATCTGATTGCTTCCGTTGGAGGGGAACTGTAAGAATAACAGGAAGCTATTAATTAGGATTTAAGCTTGACTATTAAAAGGTATTTTTTTTTAATGTATTGTACATGCTATCCATCTCCACAGAACAGTGTTATTTTAGTATTATTGATATACTGTGATAGTTTGTTAATATTTTGAATTAGATTTTATGTTTTATTTTTTAGTTCAAGTTTTAGCAATTTTGTTTGTCATTTTTGTGTTTTTTCTTAATTATATAGTTTTTAAGATTTAGTTTTTAATTGATTTAGTTTTATTTTTTTAATACTTCTACTTGAACAAAACAAAAGTGAGAAATTTAGTTTTAACAGTTTATTTTTAAGTTTAAAAGTTTTTTAGATTTTATTTTATTTCAGTTTATATTTATTTTACTTGAGGTAATGGAAATATATATATATATATATATATATACACACACACTCACACGTAGTGAATTTGCTTTCGCCAACCTAGGGAGGCAAAATAGTGTAGTGATAGGTACTCACATCACGATGACATTATGATTTTTGGATCACGTGTCACTTAAGGTGCGGTTATGAGTACATCAGATAAGAAATATTGGTGAGATATCTAACTTGTAGAACCTCTTACTGTATTATCAACACAAGGAAGACACAAGTGTAATAAAATCAATTTTATTAACAAAAGATAGACAAGAGTAATCAACAACTACTAAATGAATATCAAATGAAAAAGGAATAAAGTACATAAAATGCAATCGATTCAGTTGGGTGTTGCTATAGCAGAGTTACGTTATCTTATGAAAAGATAAACAAACTAATAAGGCGAAGAACCTTATTATGCCTCAAACAAATAATTGAAAGATTATTTGTTCTTAATCGATCAGCTATATAACATCTAATGTAAATTAGAATATCATAAACGTATAATATGCAATAATGCCATGGTCTCTGGAAGAGGTTTGGATAAGTGATATTTACGTTCTCTGTGTTCCAGTGAGCATCACTGGTAGCGGTGATTTCTTCTTCTGATCTCATGGAGCACCAAAGGGTCCTAAAATCTGGAAAACAGATGTGGCCTTGGAGTAGGTGCAGAAGGTCCTTAGTCTGAAACACGCAGACGAAAGTACCTTGACGTTAACTTTTTGCAAATATCTGTATGTCTTCTGCCTCTCTGGGCTAGAGACTCAGAACTTGGTCAATCCGCTTTGTCTCTCTAGGATGGAGACTCAGGATGTGCTGCATCTGTTGTTGTCTCACTGGACGAAGACTCTGAACGTAGAGTATCTTTTTCTTCTCAGAATGTTGAATGTATCTGTTAGCGTCTCACTGGATGTGCCGGAGACTCAGAACGAATGTGTCTGTTGCTGCCTTCCCTGTAATGGGTCACAGGCTCAGAACAGGGTTGTGTCTGTTTGTGTCTCTCCCTTTACAGGACTGAGAACTTTGTTGATCTGTTTCTATCTCCTACCATGCAGGCCGGAGACTCGGAGACAGGTTGGTGACCTGCTATTGTCTCTCTGGATGTAAATTCAGAACAAGGAGTGCCTTTGGAAGGGTACCTTTGAAAGGGTTCCCTTTCCGATGAGGAGGAGACTGCAATTTGGTGCTTCTCCATTTCTGTGCTGTGAATGGCTGTTTCCATCAGAACAGGGGAACACTGTGTGGCCCACCCTTCTTTCCTTCTGTGGAACTTATTTGCATAGTCCAAACACAAAGTTAGAAAAGTGTCACTCAAGTTTTACCGGTGCATTTCTCACTTTCCAAACCACATCCAGAACACCTTTGGCAATGTTATGAACTCATTTTAACAAACGCAAGTCCAAACATGATGGGAAAAAGATTGATCTGTCATGCATGCATTCATTTACCCATTAAAGGGATACTCCACCCCAAAATGAAAATTTTGTCATTAATCACTTACCCCCATGTCATTCCAAACCCGTAAAAGCTTTGTTTGTCTTCGGAACACAATTTAAGATATTTTGGATGAAAACCAGGAGGCGTGTGACTGTCCCATTGACTGCCAAGTAAATGACACTGTCAAGGTGCAGAAAAGTATGAAAGACATCGTCAGAATAGTCCATCTGCCATCAGTGGTTCAACCATAACATTATGAAGCGACGAGAATACTTTTTGTACGCGAAGAAAACAAAAATAACGACTTTATTCAACAATTTGTCTCCTCTGTGTCTCTCCGCATCACTGTAGCGCCATTTTGGAGAATATCCGCTGAGCGCAAGTAGCGTACGCTATTCTGTGTCAGCTGCGCTAAACGGATGTGCTGTTTTCATTCAAATCAAAGAGTAAACACACGTAGAAAACGTATCCTTGTGTCACGGCTGACACAGAATAGAGTACACAGTTTGCGCTCAGCGGATATTCTCCAAAATGTCGCTATGGTGATGCGAAGAGACACAGAGGAGACGAATTGTTGAATAAAGTCGTTATTTTTGTTTTCTTCACGTACAAAAAGTATTCTCATCGCTTCATAACGTTACGGTTGAACCACTGATGGCAGATGGACTATTCTGACGATGTCTTTCATACTTTTCTGCACCTTGACAGTGTCATTTACTTGGCAGTCAATGGGACAGTCACAAGCCTCCTGGTTTTCATCCAAAATATCTTAAATTGTGTTCCGAAGACGAACAAAGCTTTTACGGGTTTGGAACGACATGGGGGTAAGTGATTAATGACAACATTTTTATTTTGGGGTGGTGTAACCCTTTAACAGCTGAGTTTGTGTATTTATTTCTCTGAATAAGTATAAGATTGGTGTGCTGTAGTTTGCAGCAGTTTGAAAATATAGTTATGAATAAATTTGGATGGATCTCTGTGATTTCTCTTTGTTTCACCCACTGCTGCTGCATCCGGTGGTCCTAAGGAATTTTTATGGCAGTTACAGGCCAAAGCTTAGGAATCAGTCTCTTGGTTGGTGAAGGGTAGAAACTGCATTTTGAACAAAGAGAAGTCCTGTCCTTCCCGGGCTTGGTACCAGAGGTCTTCTTGCCCTCTAAAGGCCCTTTCACACGGGACGCGGCAAGCGGTGGAATTGCCGCGCGGCTGCTGTTTTCTCTTGAAGTGGAAGCATTTTGTGCAGTTGAGGCAGTGGTCACGTTGCGGTCTCGAAAGCGGACGTTACCATAGTTACAATTGTCAACATCACCTTTGTATTTACTAAAAACTAAATAAAACATAACGGAAATTTGTGTTTGTGTCATTCTGCCATTAATTGTTGGCATTATTTACCTTTCTTTTTTTTTTTCGTTTGGCACGAGTGAAGTTGTTTTGATGATTTGCTTAAAGAGCATACCTGTGAGATTACGATTGAATGAAATATAATTTTATTTATGTCTCTGTATGAGATTTTAGATGGGTTCTGAGAAATCTATTACACTTAAAACAATCTTCTCCTCTATTTTTCAAATAGGCAGTTCAGTTAAATGTTCACTGATTGGTTGAAACCGACACGGCTGCCGCTCACAAAACGATAAAATATTTTTATCTTTGGCCGCCCGCTTTCCGCATGTCTCCCATCGAGAATGAACTAGACACTCGCGACTGCCGCATACCGTGTGAAAGGGCCTTAAGAGGTGTATGGATGCTGTCCTAGCATCTTTATCTGATGGCGTTGGACAGTTTGCTTATGTTAGTCCACCAAGATCCATTCAAAATGTAGCAACCCTTTGCCCAATGTTGTATTTAGAGAGGGGCCCCACCATTACCTGGGCCCTGGAATGTGCTGTTCAAAACACACACATTTATATCCAGTGTGGGTATAAAAAAGAACGCATCGTTAGTTCTTTTTCTGTGTACTCCGGTTAAAAAAGGTAGGGTAGGGTGAAAAACTCCATCTCATTTTCTCCTCCAACTTCAAAATCATCAGACATCGTTGTCAATATATAGACCAGGGGTCTCAAACTCAATTCCTGGAGGGCAGGAGCCCTGCTGAGTTTAGATTCAACCCTAATTAAACATGATCCAACTAATCAAGTCCTTAAGGATTATTTGAAAACTACACGGTATGTGTGTTGGAACAAAACTCCCTAATATGATAACAAGAAGCCATATTAGTATCGATTATAAACGAGAACTGTTAACGATAAATCAGCTGACAGCTTTACCTGTTGTAGTTTGTTTAAGCTCCCAAAATAGACACTGCTTTTCTGCTCTTTTACTTTGTACACCTCCGCTCTCTCAGACTGTTTGAAAGTCTTTTTCCACTAAAACTATGCACATCTAAGTTTATTACATCAAAATAACAAAATATGTGATCGCAAAACAAGTAGGAAAAAAGGCATTACATGCACATTTTTAAGTCATAACATGTAAATTTACATAGTCGCCACTTGCTAGAGGCAATCTCATCAAAAATATCATTCACAAATTAATATTTTTGGTCGCAAATGCGACTGTTCTAGGCACAGTCTGGAGCCCTGTATATTACATTTTGTTTTAGTTAATGATAACCCTGCTACAGGCAATAATTTTGACCCCTTTTTGAGTATAAATGAATGTACAAATTTGCAGTAATTCATTTACAATAGAACATTAAAGCCGTGTGAGGCACTTTTTTAGTATGGATGGATGCGCTTTATTGGACTTCTTTTGAACTGTTGAACAGAAACACCCACCCCCTGCCATTATAAAGCTTGGAAGATCCAGGACCATTTTTAATATAACTCCGATTGGATTCGTTTGAAAGAAGAAAGTCATATACACCTAGGATGCCTTGCGGGTGAGTAAATCATGGACTAATTTTCATTTTTGGATGAACTATCCCTTTAAGAGACCATTTTGCTATAATAAAAATGCAAAACTAGTCCAAGAAGAACATCCAAGACAGACACTTATTTAGGGTTAGATTTAAAGGGTCATGAAACCCCAGACTACTTTTTCTGAGATTTTAGCAGAGGTGTACATCATAGAAGACAATGTTAGCATCCGATAATTTTAACTGTTGGAGAAAACTGGTTAATTTTAAGCTTTTTTGCGCTATTTTAATCTTCCGGGTTTAAAATCTACATCGTGTTGACGTCACAATTTGTGACGTGGCAAAGGACTATAGTACATCGATGACGCGTCAGTGTCTATTAAATTATTCATGAGACTGCGTGTTCTTATCCTATGAAAAGACGCTTCGCTTCCTTATTCACAACAGCATGTGTTGATTTGCCATGACAGACCCTTCAGACTGTGAGATCGTGTACATTATCTGAGAGAAACGTTCATGGATCGAAGAAGAGTGTTTGTTTTTGCTTTGTAATAAGAGTTCGGCACAAACGCGATTCATTCACTTAGTGAGTGTAACCATACAGCTCTGTGACACAATCCGTCAAAAGGCTTATATAAACGCCGCATAATAAGCCTTAAAAGTTATCAGAGGTGCAAAAGCGCATTCATATATATGTTTTTCGATGAAGAGTGCAAATGGCTGTGGATTTATTTGTGTTTTTAACTCGATGGGAGCGAAATGAAACTGTGTGAACGCGAAGCTGTGTGTGTTGTCTGTCTCCCCTCTTCCCCCTCCACTCCGTAGCGCACCACGCCCACTTTTTTAGTGTTTTTAAAAACTGTGGTGAGAACTAACCAGTGCTGAAACAGGGGGTTTCATGACCCTTTAATGCACCTGTTCCTGTAAAAATAACAACTTTCCAAACTCTGCACTGCTGCTATTGGCCAGCAGAGGATGCTCACATGCTTTTCTGAGGAACAGTCCAACAAAACAAAAACCTTCTTAAAATTAAGAACAAAAGATTTGATGTCCACTTAATGAAAAAGCAAAAGAAAATATTGTGAAATCACTGCAATGCAGGGCATTGAAATGATTTTTTTTTTTTTAATGAACTAAGCATTCATTTTTTTAAATAATGGGAGCAAAAGCAATATGATAAAAGGCAGTTCAGTAATATGTAATAATTAAATTATTATTATTACTATTATTAATAATATTTTATAGGTATTAAAAATATGGGAACGAAAGCAATAAAATGAGACACCTGACTTCACTAATAAATACTTAGTCAATAATAATAATAATTAATTCATTAGCTTAATTGTAGATTATGGTTTTATTGTACTGTAGCAACGCAGAGTTAATGTGAAGGCACAATAACTGAATTCAAATCATGTGTGTTCACAAGTGTGGGAATAGCTGGCTAACTTATTTGAAATGTGGCTCATCCATTCAGAATTTACCAAACCATTTATCATCCAAAGAATACTCCATGTAATACACCAATTTCCTTTTCATGTCATGAAACCAAATAGTATTTCACAATTCAAAATTGTTACAAGACTATCTGGTAAAAAAAAAAAAAATCCTCTTTCTTCTTCTCTGCTGTAGCTCATTTCCTAAACTAGCTTTCTTATAAACCTGCCACTGTATAAGAATATTGTTGGTTCTGTGAAAAACGCTAATGTTCCTCTATTGCAAGTCTGTTTGAACAAAAGTGTCTGCTAAATGCATGAATGTAAATAAGATATATCGATTGCCATGACAATCTGAAAAGTTGGGAAAAGGAGAAATACATCAAATGTATATGTTGTGAAGTATTTGATGGTTATGAATGGAGTGGGCAGAGAGTAAAATCTCATCCATGCAATGAGCTGAGGGAGTGTGAGGAGACAGATGGTGTGCTGCTGTCATGCTGTGGACAGGAAGTCTCACCTGAAAGGAGAGCTTGGCAGGGCTGCGTGGAGCGATTGGACTGAGAGTGCTCCAGAAGTGAATGGTTGATGGCAGCGGACTCGGTGTCAACACCACTGGAGTCTGAGCGAGAGAGAGAGAGAGAGAGAGAGAGAGAGAGAGTGTGTTGAAGAGTTTGTTCGTGTGTGTGTGTGTGTGTGTGCATGAACCATTTTACAAGGTCATTGTGTTGTATCTCTTTGTTCTTGGTTATCTGGTAATACAAGCATTTATATCGCACTGGCTTTGTTAAAAATCACATTGAGACTGTATGAATAAGAGCTTGGTACATGGAAAGCATCCATTCATACCACACAAACACCATTGTTGCCTTAGACAAAAAAACAACAAAAAAAACAAGATATTTCTGATAATTATCAAAAGTATGGCACAAGCAGAGATCTAGCTCTTAAAAACACCCAAGCATGACTCCATTGAAAGACTGAAAGATAATGCTGAAGCTCTTTGATCAGTCATTTAACAGTCATCTCTTTGTGCCTTCTATGTGGCAAAAAAGCACAATGTGTTGAAGTCAGGGCTGTCAACTATTTTCTGAGGTGTTTATGTGGGTTTTCGTCTTAGTAATGCAAATGCAAGCAGCAATAATCAAATTCCACCAAATAGTGCTTTTGTTAAATTTGTTAACAGAATTAAATGTATTTAAAAGGCAAAAATTTACATTTTAAAATTTAGCACATTTAAACAACCATAATACTGAACTGAATGGCTCACCAGGGCATGGGAGGTGATGACTGTGGGTGTTAAGGTGTTTGTGGCACTGCCAGAGGCCAGCAGGCTGTTCACTGCTGCATTGACCTTATCCAGCGAGAGTCCAGGGGGCAGCAGCGTAGACGAAGATGGCAGTTCCAGCACTCGGGGCTTCTTTGATTTAGGAGGCTGTACTTCCTGCGTGCTTGCTGGGAGGGAGGCTGATGCAGTATTGGTGTCCTCTAAAAACAGATTTGAATGAGCGGCTGAAATTGATGATTCATTTTTAAGCAATGTGGGTTTTGTTGACCTATAACCATGTCAAATAACCGTAAGAGATTTCTTGGAGAGGCTTATTGCTTTTATAAAAAGGAATGATCAGCAATATGATTAAAGAAATCATTATTTGATAATGAATTTATTATTAATAATCACAATAAATAAATAATTCTTCTGCCAAGTAATATACACTACTGTTCAAAAGTATGGGGGTAGTAATTTATTTATTTATTTTAGGGAAATTTATACGTTCAATATTCAGCAAGGATGCACTGATTTGATCAGATGTAACAGTAAAGACATTTATAATGGTACAAATTGTTTCTATTTCAAATAAATGCTGTTCTTTTGAACTTTCTATTCATCAATGAATCCTGAAAAAATGATATATACATTTCCACAAAATATGAAGGAGCACACTAAGAAAATATGTTTCTTGATCATCAAATCAGCATAATTAGATTTAGTTTTTCTGAAGGATCATGTGACACTGAAGACTGGAGTAATGGTGGCTGAAATAAAATACATTTTAAAATATATTCAAATAGAAATCAGCTATTTTAAGTTGTAGTAATATTTAACAATGTTTCTCTTTTTACTGTATTTTTGATTAAATAAATCTAGTCTTGGTGAGCATTTTGTTCAAATAAATTAAAAAAATCTTACTGATCCCAAACTTTCGAACTGTATTGTAGTTAATTACCTTAACAGAAGGCTGTTTTTGGTTGCCAAGAAACTTGAGATTTTAAAATGGACCTTAATTGATATCCCTTTTATAAGTTGAACAAAAAATGCTAAGGAATGTGTTACCACTTACACAAAGATTTGCTTGTAATTTATAAACTTAGTAAACCTAAAAACAGACTAGAACAATCAACTGCTATGAACCTCACCAGCTCTTTAACGCATTAACAACCTGAACTTTCAACTAACCGGGTAGCTCAGGCTTCTCTTTCACTTCCCCTTCTCCAACCGGCTGGGATACTGGCTCCACACAGGGTGATGGAGCATCCACAGGGATAGGGGCATCTGTAACTCTAGGAACAGGCACTGTGGACACTGGCTGAGTATGGCAATAAATCAAATAAAAAGCTAAATTACTCTCACATTTAATTACAGCCAAACATGTTTAACATTTTTTGGATGTTATACACTGAATGATTTATAATTGGCACGTCTGTTCACCTCAACATCTGTTTTGTCATCCAAATGGACAATCTCCAGCAAGTCGTCTTCAGGCGGGAGGCTGGACTCTTTGGGCAGCCCGACTGGCGAAGGCTTTATGACCACAAACACAGGCTGAGAATGGTTGACTACACATTCTCCATGAGCTAGAGGAATGAGCGAGGTCAGAGAGCTGGGATCAGACAGGTAGATCTGGGGTGGGTCACCCAAACTCTGGCTCTTCTGTGCTTGAGTATTCTGTGGGATGAATTTAAAACAACATTTTTTATGCACATTAGTCTTAATAATAACAGTATTTAACATGGGTGTCAGATATTTGGATTGCAAGTTGATTAGCTGATCTTTAAGGTATTTTACAGGAATCTGGGTCAATAAGGTTTTATAAATCTGCCAAACAATTTCATGTTGACTAGGAGGCTACAATGAGTGCTTCAATAAGCAAAGACTAATTTGTAACTTACTTCCATAGTGTGACATATTTTTAAGTGCAACAAGAAAAATGTGCTTGATTTTATTCACTGGAGAAAGGGCTTGCTTGACTGTGATGCCATTTCTGACACTGACGCTGAGATTCATTGCAAAACTTAAACGACTGCCATCCAGTTTGAAGAAAATTTTTTCCTTGACTAAGATGAGACATCATTAAACACTGACTATATCAATATGCAGCATCGCTGAAAAAAAAAAAAGAGAGAGACTATCTCTAAAAAAATCTCTATATCACAACCAAGCACACACAAGGCCTCAATGCCGACTGTAATAAATCCAAACATGGATTTCGACTATATGGACTCTTTTCACAAGACTGTGATGACGCGTTTAACGGTCATCAGCATCATAAATTGTCCATCCTATTTGTATAAAAAAAAAAATGAATGTACATTTATAATACTATTCTTTGTGTTTTACCACCTTTGCATCAAATTACAAAAAAACAGTTAATGCTAATGCGAGGGTGTTTCTAAAGCAGCGTCTATGGGAGGGACGGTAAATTTGACATCATTCTCTCATCTGACTGCCGTTATCAGTCTCTCTCAATTTTTTTCTTTTATTGAAAGTCACAAAAACACTATCGGGGAGTTTTCCTTTTGCCATTTGAGCAAATGGGAATGCAAAAAATATATTTGTGGTACTCTCCCATTCACTTCTCTTCAAGTTAACCCAACTATGACGACTTCCGCTGCTGAGAAACCCGGAAATGTGAAAAGGGTCCATTGTTTGCGATCGTGGTTGCTGAATAAATGCACTTTTGCAGCCTCTGTGCCACAAAGTCTTTTTTGTCATTGTTTTAATAGAAAAACATTAATATAATTTGGAATTATTAGAGTTAATATTAGAAATTTAGTTGTTTTAGTTTTTGAGAGAAGCTTTAGAGTTTTACCAGTTTTCATAATGCATAGAAAAAAATGATAATTGAATAAATCTAAATGAGGTCAAATAAACCATGTGTATGAGCTGACATTCTCTGACAACAATCATGATCAGTAATCACAGTTATAATTCTGAGCAAAAAACTGTAATTATCAGTTGAACCATTATGCAGCATGCAGCACTAAAATGTTGGATAGGTTGATTAAATATGATGAAAACTAAAAAGGACATTTGACAAAGGACTAAGACTAATACTAAACTAAAAACCAGCTAACCAAATGAACACTACTGCCATGGGTGATGTCACACTAATCGATTAAAGACTGACGATTTTGCCGACAGCAAAAAATCTTACATGATTCCCAAATGTTGACACCATCATCGTGGCTAAAATCGCACAGCTTTACGCATTTAAAGACTGTGTCTGGATGTGTGTTAAAGAGTGAATCCATACCATGGTTGCCGTGGCAGATCCAGAGGGCGTCTGTGGGCTGAGGGCGGGAGTAGCACATGGGGACGGGTGGGTCACTATCACCTGCAGACTGCTGCTCTCTACAGTCGAATGGGCCTGAACAGTTCCCTGCTGTCCTTCTGTCTGACACATTCGCATCTGCGCCATACACACAAAATCACTGTGAATCAAATACTAGACACACAAGGTTTGCCTCACACGGTTTTGGAGGTTTAAACAATGATAACTAATTTAACTGATGGTTTATGTCATCTGAGAGGATTTATTACAGAATTAAAAGCATCAGCTCTAAAACAAAAACATGAAATCCAGAAAGAAGCTGACCTCATGCACTGTGCAGTCCAGAGGGGCAGGATTGGGGCTGCAGTCACTCAGGACGTGCTCTGTTTTGATGAATTTGGATGTGGTTTTGTAGGGCGTCTGCAGGGACTGGATAGTGAAAGTGGAGTAGAGACCAGACTTCATGTAATCGTTGCGGGAGCTGCGTTGCACTGAGCTAAGAGAGGAGCGCTGAACCTGCAGGCTCTTGGAGAGACACGGGTTGGTGGTGTTAGATTTGGTCTGAATGGAAAGCTCCAATTTCTCCCCTGTAGCGGCCCTCTGGGAATCCTCAGGCCCTTTCAGCCCATCAGCAGAGTTGGGATCCGGAAAGGTCACAAACTTGTAGACAAACTTCTGGCCGCTAACTTTCTTAATAATATTCTGTGGAAGTATGAAAGCTTGATGGAAAGTGGCTAAACAATAATATGCACTTGACATTAAACATTAAAAAGTTCCAATCTTAAGTGTTTTTCTAGCTTTTTCATAGTAGTCAGACAGTAAAAATCACAGAATTATTAATATTTATGGATGAATACTAGTGATGGACCAAATTATTGTCAAGGCTCATAAATTGGTTAACATTTTTTGAGTAAATGATGTTTAATTTAACTTCATTTATTTAATCTAATTTAATATCAATAAAATGTATTACTGTATGTCAAATATATACACTAGTGTTCAAAACTTTGGGGTTGGTAAGATTTCTTCATGTATTTGATTAAAAACATAGTAAAAACAGTGATATTGTGAAACATTATTATAATTTAAAATAACAGTTTTCTATTTGAATATATTTTTAAATGCAATTTAAAAATATTCTGTAATACAAAGCTGAATTTTCAGCATCATTACTCCAGTCTTCAGTGTCACATGATCCTTCAGAAATCATTCTAATATGCTGATTTGCTGCTCAAGAAACATTTCTTGTTATTTTCAATGTTTAAAACAGTTGTGCTGCTAAACATTTTTGTGGAAAACCATGATGAATTTATTCAGGATTCTTTGATGAACAGAAAATTCAAAACAGCATTTATTTGAAATAGAAATCTTTTGTAACATTATAAATGTCTTTACTGTCACGTTTGATAACTTTATTGCTTCCTTGCGGAATAAAATGTAAGCTTTTTAAAAGAAAAAAAAAACTTACCTAAATTTTAAACCCAAAATTTTAAACAGTAATGAATATATCATATAAACTGATTAAGTCTATGATTCACATCCTTAGTTACTCTTGTACATACCTTGTCATAGTAGTAACGAAGTGCCCTGCTCAGTTTATCATAGTTCATGTTGGTTTTGTTCTTGCGCAGCCCCCAGAGTCTGGCCACCTCCTCGGCATCCAGCAGTTTGAACTCTCCATCCCCAGATGTCCAGGAGATCAAATGCTTCTGACTCTGATCATCCAGCAGGTGTAGCAGGAACTGCCACAATGTAATGGACGGATCCATTGCTACAGGGGACAAAAAACAGACTGTGATAAATGGGCAGTGTTTATAACCTATTGGCTACAGTTCAGGGGTGGCAAGTGCTTAGTACCATAATAATAATGTGTAAGATTCGAAAAAGTTCAAGTTAGTACTAAATAAATATAAAACAACCCGCAATTACTAATGTTTTCAATGAAATACACACTGATATATGTGTCGGTTTTGATAAGGCCTGCTTGTAAAATATTGCACCATAAAGCCATAAGTGCTGTGAAAACAAGAGATATTGGTTTTACTAGCTATGTTTCTAAAAAATACTGCATCAAATATACCTAGAACGCATTGCCATGTGAAGTATGTTCTGGAACTGAAGCCATGTTAGAAGAAAAAAAAACAGTCTTTTTGGGATTTAACAGAATCCAACATCCACTGAAATCAAATTCACATCCTCAGTACAGTAAATTAAGTCCTCTTGCTTCATAGTTGGATTGAGTAGAGCATAAACGGAGAGTGAACATTAAATCTGCAGTGAAATCAAGGGAAAACAGGCAAGAATTAATGGTGCTACCGTCAGCAGAGGACGTGTATCACTAGTTCAGGAAGAACATGTTGAGAATGCAAATTAACCCTATTAACCCCCCCCCCCCCCCTTCATTTACGTAACTCATAAGCAACACCGTAGAAACGATCACCATGATAAAAGCATTTAAGCAACAGTTTCTGAGGAATAAAAAATACCCCACCCCCCTTGCACACTTGCAGTGAATTGCTGATGACAATGAAGGGAACTGTTTTCATTTTAACCCAGCACATAAAATCTCATTAATTTATACAATCATTAAAACGAGCTGTAAGTGATTGAGTGAGTGCATTCATTAGCAGTAAAATGTCTTTAAAGGGGTCATATTCACACTGGATAGCTGGCTAATCAGAGCACACCTTGCTTTTCAGACCGATGAGCTTTGTAAAAATCGACTCGTTTCAGAAAGGCGGGGCATAGAGGAGAAACAATGTACAGTATGTGGAAAATAATGTTGTTGTTTTTTTACCTTAAACTGCATAAACACATTTCATTACACCAAATACACAAAATAATGTTCTTTTTAGCATCATCATATGACCCCTTTATAAAATGGTGTCATTCTAAAAGAATATCCTGTGGGCAGCCTGTACAGCTACACACACTAAGGCAAACAGAGGGTTTTACAAAGTTGTAGTTCAGGATTTAGATGTCATATTGTCCTCTTAGCACATTATACACACTTACTCATCAAACCAACATCTCACCGCAAGACCCCCAAACTGCTGAAATTACTAATTTCCATACAGGCTGACAAAAAAATGTTTCTGAAGACATCTCTGTAACACTTTCCATTAATGTTCTGACTAGATAGACATACAGTAATTATGCATTGAGAACATGTAGACTATTAGCAGTTGGCATTTTCTTCAAATAAAGAACAAATCAGGGATTGAAAGTCTTTTGACCAATAACAACGAAAAGAGAGTAACTCTCAATGTTAATCATCCACAAAATATTACATTTGACATTTGCCTGAATACATATCTTGTTATTTTTAAGCAATCAATATGACGAGATTCACTAAAAATTAGGGATGTAACGATTAACCGCGGGCCAGTTGAAAATCGATTTAAATATGCGATGATTCAACTCGGTTGAGATGCTAAACAAATCGCGATTCAATTAGGGGCAGGAGTTTATATGAATGCATGTCTGAGGGGAACTGTCTTTAGAAAAGTTTAGATGGCATTTTTTCTTTTCCTCTTGCCTCTGTATAATGCATATTAAAGTTCATAAGTGCAGCGCTGCTTTGTTTACAGCAGAAACCAAGGAAACGTATTAAGCTGGCAGAGAGTGAATCTGCATCTCATTCAGCTCCTCTGCTGTTTGTCGAAATTATACAATGTAATTTGTGATGTAATTTGGTTGCCTCTAATTTTAAATGTAAAGAGCACAGACAAAGACTTATTTTGTTTATATGAAGAGATTTCTTTTATTTGTGTTTATTTGATTTGGGGCTTGTTTTAAAATTAAAAAAAATAATAATAATTTAGTTTTGTTATTTACATTTACATCATATTTACATTTTGGTATTTAGCAGACACTTTTATCCAAAGCGACTAACAAATGAGGACAATAGAAGCAATCAAAACCAACAAAAAAGCAATAATTTACAAGTGCTATATTAGTATATTATTATAGTGTTATATTTCAATTTCACAAAGAAACGTGCAGTATTTTGTCCAAGCAATAATAAAAGGGCACATTTAATTTATAATTTGTCTTAAATCTCATTTTGTTAAAAAAAATTGTGAATCGAATCGTGAAATCAAAATTGTGAATCGAATCGTGAGTAAATCGTTACATCCCTATTAAAAATGCATTAAACCAATTCAAAAATATGCCTAGTAATAAACATTAGGAAATATACCAAAATTACTTAAGTACTTGTGCAACTGCAACTACACTGTAAAATGAACACAAAAATCTGAGCAAAATGTCATTTTCAATAGATGAACAATAATATCAGGTCTATACCCGTTAAGAAGATCAATAACTGTTTTACTGAATGATACTGATCAACATTGGACATTTTAGATTTCAGATTCCTTTTAGGGCTGTGATATATTGACAAAAAAAATCGCGATTTCTTTTATCAATTTTGCGATTTCGATTTTGATCACGATTTTGACACACAGACACATGCTTTACAGTCATAAATGCATTCAGTGTGAATTTGAAACTTATTTCCAAAAGAAACCCAATTAGAGCTTTATCAAAAAGCTGTAACATGTCTCTAGAACAGACATAAGGCAAAAAATATATATAATAATAATCCCATGTCCAGGGATTTTTTTGCCATGCATTGGTAATAGAGCTTTTTGTGGCATTGCCTCAGATATTGAAATAGATTTGTTTACCACAAACACAACATTTATCCATTATTTTGATTTCAAAGTTTCTGAAAATGCTTTCTCAGCATTGTGATTCTCTTTTATCACAGTACAGTAATAAAATCTTTCATAGACATTCACTTTTAAACTCAATAAATATAACTTTATTTTCCTACCTCCACGAGTGCCATCTATTCTTGCCTTGTTTATCTAAACGTGCACTTTTCCTTGTTTTAAATCTAGCCAAAAAGCCATGTGTTGACTGTGAAACAGTAGACTTTAATTATATGCATTTATGGTGTAATTACTACATTTCAGTGTCAATCCAGGTAATTTTTACCACGAATAATGCCCTGTCACTTTAATTTAGCACGTGCAGCACAGCAGAAATAGACTGTGCGGAAACGATCGCTGCACTGCTGCAGACACACCGCTCCTGGAGCGCACTGCTGGTGTTCTGTCGATTTCGATCTGTCAGATTTTGCTACCTCCCATTAAAACAGTGGGTAGTACAATTCGACAATGAAAAATGCTACCTGTAAAATTATGGTTTATTAACGTCTACACCACAACCCTAAACCTACCCTTACAGTAATGCAAATACACTAATTAGGTGTTATATTCGTGGTTGTAGCTAGAAGGGATACAGCTACAGAAAACCAACAATAAATAATTTGTTCTACCTATTAGATTGTTTTATTAAAGTCTACACCTACCCCAACCCTAAACCTACCCTTACAGTAATGCAGATACATTAAATATTGTTGTTCAGCATGAGAAAAAGGACGTAAAATTGATGTGCGCATGCACAGTAAACCCTGGTAGGACAATCTGACGGGTAGGATAGAATGTCAGGACACCGGGCCGCAATCGTGTGCAGTGTGAACGCTCTGATCTGTTAACATGGGCACGGAAAAAATACTGTAACGTAGTTTGTAGGTCGGGAAGAAGGAGGCAGGAACCGGCGAACACTCAAAGAAAACTTTAATAATAAAATAAACACAAAATAGCGCGACAGCCCCTCGCAGACGACTGCCGCGCCCAAACGAAACCAAAACACAAAATAAAGTCCAGGCCTGGTCCTCTCTCGTCTTTCCCTGTCGTCACTCCTCCTTTTTATCCTTCCGGAGCTCCTCCGTGAGACTCCAGACCGGTGAGTGGTGCAGGTGTCGCTCATTATCAATTACTCCACCGGCCTCGCTCCGTTCCCACGGCTCTCGGCCCCGCCCCTCCCGTCACAAATACGCACCACAGATGGTATGTTATACTTTCCACGTGAGTAATCCTGACGCGTACACGGACAGCGCGGACACGGACTACTTGTATTTATACTACCGAAAGCATACGCTGATGGTCCGCTCTGCGGACGTGTTCCATACATGCGTAGTAGATCGGCTTGAACAATAAACAAACATGTGAACAAATAATTGCCCAGAGTTATTGCTAGGGCTGAACGGTTAATTGCATTTGCGATAATATCGCGATATGAAAAAACGCAATTTTTCAATCGCAGAGACTGCGATTACACTCGGTCACGTGACACGCAAGAGTAAAGAGGTGTGTTCAACTTGAAGATCGATCGGTGTATGACATCATACGGCGAGAGAAAGCATAAGGAGACGTCCGCTCTCTCTTATAGCTCTCGCAGTACTTTGATGACACACACCGATCGGTCTAAGCAGCGCTGCTTCAAGTCGGGCGCGGGCCATCAGCAGAAAAAGAAAAGAAATAAAACAGTAAACAGCCAAAGGACGTAACTTAGAATGGGAGATGGATCGGTTTGTGAAAGCGAAGAGAAAAGCCATAGATGAAGTCGCACAGACCCAGGCAGGTTCTGGCCATTTAAACGCTAAATGCAGAATATATGACGAGGCATATCTTGCTCTCGGCTTCACTCACTGTGTCTATACCGGACGCCGTGCCGCAACAGCTCTACACTGGACACGACAAAGCGACCGTTGCAAATCATTTTAACTTTGTGTCAGTACGTCATAAATAGAACATGGGATCAGTGTCATGTTGCGCTGCATCCAGTGTACACAGCGTCACTGATTATAATGGTTCTACTGTATTTTGCAGCTCGCGTCCGGTGTAGACACGGTGTTTATGTCGTTGGTGAGGAGGAAAGCCTGTGAGTGTCCTATGCCTTAGCGGACAGCATGAAACCCACAAATTATTTTTTTTACAGGTTTAAAGGGGGGCGCGACCAAAAAAGTTTGAGAACCACTGTTCTAAAGTTAACAGACAGTGTTTAGTGCAGTCCACATGTTTACATATGTTTATTACAGTGACTGTGAATTACCTAAAGTAGTGTGGTAAAGCAACAGATTTGTTTTTATATTTCTGCAATCTACTTTAGTTTGTGTGATTTGTTACTGACTTTCATATTAATGTTTACACCAGGCTTATTTGTCAGTGCTTTATGTTGTCATAATTATTACATGCTTACAAGGTTGGAAGTTCAACAAATCAGTCAATATACTACTGTGATTGTAGTTGTTAAATAAAAATGTCATTCATATCAATTCATGCATCACCTAATTTCATCGTAACATATAGGCCTGGCCTACAGAAAAGAACATTTATGTTTAATCTATCTAATAGTGTGTTGATCATACTATACAATGATTTATAGCTTGTCTTTGTTGAATAATACAGAACATAAATAGCTTTAAAAAATAATTGCAGATTAAATCGCAATATTGGTAAAAATAAATAAAAATTCGCAATTCGATTATTTTCCAAAATCGTTCAGCCCTAGTTATTGCACATCTGGCTGTCTTTATATTGTTTTATCGACGGATTGTACAGGTTCGAGAAGCAGCGGGCTTCGCTCAAATTGCGCACGCTCAAATCGTGATTTCATGACGACTTCGATTAATCGCACAGTCCTAATTCCTTTAGACATCTGAACTTAAAAACAGTATTAGATTACAGAAAATATTTAACAGCCTTTAAAGTACTTTCTTATACATGTCCTACCTCTATTATAGCAACTTCTCATCTCCACAATTCAATGTTTTTATAAACTATTCAGATTGAAAATTAATAGTTACCTATATTTTATACTGTACATTAAAATATTGTGATGTCTAAAAATTCACTTAATCATCACAACATTGACAAGAATGACTGGTTTTAGTTTTGAAGTACAGAGTTTTATTAAAACGGTGGATTAGAAAATACTAGCCTATAGATTTTCCAAAACAGACAATTTTATTATAGGTCTTTCCCTAAATTAACAGCCATTGAGAAAGCAAAGTCAGCGGTTTGAAAGAATAAGTAACATCTCCTCTGTAATGTAGCAGTATAATAAATTATGTTTTTTTTTAATTATTAAGTGTTTCAACGGCAGCCGTAACAGCAGAATCTACTGAACTGTTCAGGCCAATAAAACAAACAGCTTCTGATTTCCCCAACAGCACAATAACACATCGAAGCTTTCATAAAAATAACATATATTATGGTGATTTATAAAAAAATTTATAAAAAAAAATTGGCATCAGAATATACTGATTAAAATAACCAAAGGATCAAGGTATTAAGATAAAAATGTCATAGTGAAGCCAGAACCAAAGAATCAGATGCACATTTTCTTATTTACACGTTAATTATTCCCTATAATTTTCCTTGCAGTGTTACATTCTAGCTGAAGAGCTCCAGTATGACTAATCAAGGGACTAACACTGCACAGCTTGCCTTGGTCTAATGCCTCATAAATCAGCCTGTGCATCTGAGAAAAGCAAACAAAGACCGCGCACTGAACAACACAGATCTGTTTTTCCCCATCAGACCTTATTGCCTTAAGGCTGTTCGGGGACCTCAATGCTCAATAGTCAATTATCTTGAGTTCTCAGACTGCATGATGACTTACAGCCAATGAATGAATTGCAATCCCAAAGGAAGAGAGAGCCAGACAGGACTGTGATGTGAGCAGAATGAATCCAGTGCTAAATTACCAAACAAATCCCTAATAAACACATACACTTGCATTCAATGGGGCTCAGGACAGTTCCTGATGGGTCATCAAGGTGTTCACCCAGTTTCTCTGGGTTTACATGAGGTCTGCTGGTTAATATCAGATGACATCGGTTTCTTTTACACAAAGTAAAGAAATGCTGACATATGCATTGCACAATCATGTTCAATTCAAATAAGTTCTTATGCACTTGAATCAAAGTTTTCAGAGTAATTATAAAGGGCTTGTTGACATTATACAAAATAGAGTGAAAAATGATAGTAATGATAATAACTAATTTATAATTAAATCAATCATTTATTAGGTTTTACTTATAAACCTCCTTTCCAAATACAAGAACAAACACCCACCCTCAAACTAGCTTGTTTGACAGCTCTGACACTAATATTTAACGCACAATAAAACAATCAAATGCTATTCTGTTCAAATGCTATTCGTTTAATGGTTGATTAGTTCAGAAATAACCAGGAGGCAAACAAGTCTGCCAAACATTCGATTTCATTCAGAAACAGCAGCATGTGGACACGCTGCCAGACATTTGGCTTGCAAAACATTTACTCAAACACAGTTGAAGTGCATCAGGCTTCCTACAGGTTTTGTTAACCCACCCTGACCAAAATAAAGTGCCAATACCACTCATTTATACGGGCTCTTAATTGTTTTTGGACCATCACACTGGTTTAAACATAACGTTCTGGCTCGCGCCAGGATTAGGCGTCGTGTACGAATGAAATGTGAATATAACAGAGCGAGTTGTAAATGCATTTGGCTTTGACTAACGAGCACTTTATTCAACTCGAATGCAATCACTCCTTCATGTCCAACCTCCTTGAAGTGGAATACAACTTACCGCTGATCAGCGGGTTCGACTCCATCTCTGCCAAATAAATGTGTTTATGGGCCGTTTTATTCTTTGGAGATTAATTCACGTCCATAGCTGTGCTTGCTGGGTGTCAAAAGTCGGTGGTTTAATTGCGTTTGGTTGTTATGTAACACATGCACCTCTCCCTCCATGTTAGTTGACATTAGCAGCTAAGTCGCTAGCTCGCGTTAGCTCAGGCTGCCTGCGCTTGCACCGTTCCTGTCAGACAGACTGAAGACTTCTTCAAACGCCAAAACACTCCAGTAAAACGACCAGGGCCGCGTTTAAAAGGTGGAATGGCACGCCCTGCCTTTAAAATAATACGGTATCAGTAAAGTGGGGTTAATTCCAGTGTGGTGGACGGTGAGGGAGGGCAAATAAACCGACACCCCTGATCAGGTAGCCGTTGGTCCGCGAAGCGCGCGAGCTTCTCTCCTTCAGCGGTGTCCAAGCAACGGACTGAAAGTCCGCGGCTGCACTGTTAGTTTAAAGAGCTCAAAATAGCTGGGAGGGAAAAGACAGAGCGCTCCCTTCTTAATTTTTGTTGTAACAACAACCTCTGCTTGGCTTTCCCCCGCTTTGCTTCCTGTTTCCACGAACGCATCGACTACGACTACTTGTTTTGTTTTTTTTCCACCTCTTTGGTCCGCGAGTGCGGCCGTGACGTCACCGCACAGGCATCACGTGGGTCGGCTGTCGAGCAAAATGAATGAAAGAGGAGCAGCTTGTGTGTGTTGCTGTCTTCTAGTGAAGAGAGAGGTTTTTATTCAGCGCCAAGGTCGAGTGAACTTCTCTGTCCCACACACACTGACAAGCGCGATGCACAGGACTGCGCTGAAATGTTGCTTGCACTCATCAAACACAATGCAGGGGTTTTCCAGGGGGGTGGGCACAAGAGAGTGCTAGGGGTTCTGGAAAAGTTTAGAGAAAAACTATGTAAAAATGAAATAAATAAATAATAAAAATAATTAGAAACATTTCAAAATAAATAAAAAATATTTTTTTAGCGAATAGATAAATAAAACGTTTAACTACTGTACTATAGTAAGCATAAAAATGTAATAATGCAAAATATACTTTACAGTACAAATTGGGTCTTTCTACAGACAAGCATATAGCTGCATTTCAACTTTAGAATTGGGGTCCCTCGCACGAAGATGATCATATTTGGGGGTCTGTGGCATCTAAAAGATTGAAAACCCCTGGCATGGTGTATAATCAAAATAATGTCAAGCATGCATAGTGCATATGTAATAGAATAATACAGGAAGCATAACCGATCCTTTATTTGATGCATTGGAAAGTCGAAATCCTGAATTATATATATCATTTTAAAATGTAAAATCTGTAATTCCATAGCCAGTGCTGACAATGTCACATTATAATGATTGTATAGTGTGTCATTGTGCCCAAATGCGGCAGTGAGTCAAAGAAAAATAATCTATTTCAGGAACCAAGTCTTACAGTGCTGCCACAATTCAACATCCAGTTTCCATGGCAACCGTTACTAGTGTGACAGAGTAGCCATCACACGGATGCTGCAGAAACTTAAAATTAACCACTGTCTTCATCAATCAGAACTAGAAGCACCATTAATGAGCGATTAATTGCCACGTAATTCATTGAAGGAGCAATCTCGAATCCCAAAGGAAGCACACATACAGTTTGAAAGCATTTTATCGAACGCCATACTCGTAGAAAGGATGAAGAACTGATTATGTGAACAGGGTAATCTATACATAGTTTGTGTTCTTAGTTGTAGATTCTTTTCAATTACAGTAGATTGATTCTGAGCTAAAGTTTTTATTCCAGAATCAATCTGTACTCGCATTTTAATTTGTTCAACAGATTTATATTTTCATTTTAGAAAGATTGGCTTCATAGTGTAATTTTGTGGTTTGCTGAAATCAATGGTAGAATTCTTATTTCTGTAAGAAGTGTTGTTTTATGAAAATAAAAATGTATGAGCCAGTTAAAAATCACACAACTTTATTTACAATGATACAATCTCAGTAATCATTTGCTTGACGTGTCTAATCAAGAGAAGCCTCTTACATATTCATATAGACTGTCTAATGTTATATGAAGGTTTAAAAAGGCGATGTGTAAACGTATTGTGTGTACAGTGATAGTTATTTAAAATGATCACAATGCCATTGATGGTTGGTACTGAAAATGTTACAATTTATTCAGCAAACTTTTCAAAACAACAGTATAACCTGTTAAAAGGCAATGTTCCTCTAAAATGGATTGCCATAAAATTGACATTGTTTGAAACAAACATTAGTCATATGTGCAAATTAAATACACTGTGCTGTGATTGGTGTACTGTACTAAAACACCTCTCTCCTTCTGGCCTCTGGAAGATCTTTCAGACCTTGTAATTCCCTCAATCCCTATGAAAACAGATTTTTCTTAAGCATCACAATATATTGTTAATTTAAAAAAAAATAAACGACAAGCAAGTAAACCGTAATGATTTGTACCTCCAGAGCCATGCGGATGTTGGACTTTATCTTTGCTGCATCTTTGGTAAGGACCTCAGTACACCTGAAATGTTCAAATAATGATGAACATCTCAAGGTAACAAAAAACGGCAAACATGCACATTTCAAAACAATCAAAAACCAAATGATCTCTTACTCCGTTAGCTGATTCGTCTTCTTTTCTAAGAAATTCAATGCCTCTGCATGTGTGAATTCGACAAAGAATCCAAATCCAACGGTCACATATATTTTTGATGCATCAGGTCTAAAAAAAAAAGGAACGAATCCTTCACGAGTTTGACTTTTAATGTTAGAGGCATTGATGCGCAGTACACAGACTTGCAATACTTACACGTGAGCCTGCACATAGAAATTGCAGCCAAGGTCAACATCTGTTTTGAGTTCCTTGCTGTCAGTTTCCTAAAGATGAATAAAATATAGCAAAAGCAACGTATTATACACATCACTCGATACAGAATGAGAGCAAGAAAATGACAGAGACAGGGAGTAACAAATGAAAATGGAGACAGGCAAGGTTACATAGCAAAGAAAAAAAAACCTTGGAAACATAAAGACATTGGAAAAAGCACAAAATATGGTTTAGTAGATAAAATACCTGAATGCTTTTAATTGTATTCTTCAGCTGAAGGTATTGTGCTATTTTCTCATGCACAGCATCTCTTTGCTCCAATACTTTCCTGTCAGAGCACAGAGTTAAAATAGTAGCAAATAATTTAATCTATGTTTTAAATATACAGTGCCGTGAAAAGGTTTTTGCCCCCTTCCTGTTTTTATTATTTTTTTGCATATGTCACACTTAAAAGATTCAGATCAAACAAATTTTAATATTACACAAAGATAATGCAAGTAAATACAAAATGCAGTTTTTAAATGATTATTTATTTTATTAAGGGAAAAAAGCTGTCCAAACCTGCCTGGCCCTACGTGAAAAAGTAATTGCCCCTAAATCTAATAACTGGTTGTGCCACGCTTTGCAGCAACAACTGCAATCAAGTGTTTGCGATAACTGGCAATGAGTCTTTCACATCGCTGTGGAGGAATTTTGGCCCACTCTTCTTTGCAGAATTGTTTTAATTCAGTTACATTGGAGGGTTTTCGAGCATGAATGGACTGTTTAAGCATCTCAATCGGATTTAAGTCCGGACTTTGATTTGGCCACTCCAAAACCTTAATTTAGTTTTTCTTGAGCCATTCAGAGGTGGACTTGCTGGTGTGTTTGGGATCATTGTCCTGCTACATAACCCAAGTGCGCTTGAGCTTGAGGTCACAAACTGATGGCCGGACATTCTCCTTCAGGATTTTTTGATAGAGTGCAGAATTCATGGTTCCGTCAATTATGGCAAGTTGTCCAGGTCCTGAAGCTGCAAAGCAGCCCCAGATCATCACACTACCACCACCATGTTTGACTGTTGGTATGATGTTCTTTTTATGAAATGCTGTGTTGGTTTTACACCAGATGTAACGGGACACACACCTTCCAAAAAGTTAAACTTTTGTCTCATCAGTCCACAGAATATTTGCCCAAAAGTCTTGGGGATCATCAAGATATTTTTTGGCAAATGAGAGACGAGTCTTTGTGTTGTTTTTGGTCAGCAGTGGCTTTTTCCTTGGAACTCTCCCATGGATGCCGTTTTTGCCCAGTCTCTTTCTTATTGTTGAATCATGAACACTGACCTTAATTGAGGAAAGTGAGGCCTGCAGTTCTTTAGATGTTGTTCTGGGTTCTTTTATGACCTCTTGGATGAGTCGTCGTTGTGCTCTTGGAGTAATTTTGGTTGGCCGGCAACTCCTGGGAAGGTTCACCATTGTTCCAAGTTTTCTCAATTTGTGGATAATGGCTCTGACCATGGTTCGCTGGAGTCCCAAAGCCTTAGAAATGGCTTTATAATCCTTTCCAGACTGATACATGTCAACTGTTTTGATTCTCATCTGTTCTTGAATTTCTTTAGATCGTGTCATGATGTGTCATGATGTCTTTAAGCATGCTTCACTTTATCAGACAGCTTCTATTTAAGTGATTTCTTGATTCAACAGGTCTGGCAGTAATCAGGCCTGGGTGTGGCTAGTGAAATTTAACTCAGCTTTCTAAAATAATGTGGTTAATTGCAGTTCTTTCATGATTTAACAGGCCACGTAGGTTTGGACAGCTTTTTTCCCTTAATAAATGAAATCATCATTTAAAAACTGCATTTTGTATTTACTTGCATTATCTTTGTGTAATATAAAATTAGTTTGACGATCTGAATCTTTTAAGTGTGACATATGCAAAAAATTTAAAAAACAGGAAGGGGCAAAAACCTTTTCACACCACTGTATATACACACACACATACAGTGGGGAAAATTTGTTTGCCCACTTACAAAAACATTTTTAAAAAGCATTTTTCTGTCATTTTTATGGTAGATTTATTTTAACAGACAGAATATCAAAAATTCCAGAAAAAAAACATTATATAAAGGTTAGAAATCGATTTGCATTTCAGTGAGTGAAATAAGTATTTGATCCCCAAGCAAAACATGACTTAGTACTTGGTGCAGAAACCCTTGTTGGCAAGCACAGAGGTAAGATGTTTTTTTTGTAGTTGGTCACAAGGTTGGCACACATCTCAGGAGGGATTTTGATCCACTCTTCTTTACAGATTCTCTCTAAATCCTTAAGGTTTCTTGGCTATTGTTTGGCAACTCGAAGTTTCAGCTCCCTCCACAGATTTTCTATAGGATTGAGGATTGGAGACTGGCTAGGCCACTCCATGACCTTAATGTGCTTTTTCTTGAGCCACTCCTCTGTTGCCTTGGCAGTATGTTTTGGCTCATTGTAATCCTTGAAGACTTATCCTTGACCCATCTTCAGTGTTCTGGCTGAGGGAAGGAGGTTCTCGTCCAGGATTTTACAGTACATGGCCCCGTCCATTTGCCCCTCAATGTGGTAAAGTCGTCCTGTACCTATAGCAGAAAAACAGCCCCAAAGCATGTTTCCACCTCTGTGCTTGACTGTAGGGATGGTGTTCTTGGGGTCATAGTCAGCATTTCTCTCCCTCCAAACACGGCGAGTCGAGTTAATGCCAAAGAGCTCAATTTTGGTCTCATCTGACCCCAGCTCTTTCTCCCAAGCCTTCTCTGAATCATTTACATGTTCTTTGGCAAACTTTAAACGGGCCTGTTCATGTGCCTTCTTGAGCA